AATGATTAAAAGCTTACGGAGGATGAATTCCGTAATGATGATAAAAAGCAACAAAAAAAGTTTAAGGACAAGGAAAAAATAAAGACAAAATAACAATAAAACTAAAGTAAATAAAGAAAGGAAACACACCTAGGTTTCTCTTTGTACTTTTAACAAAACAGTTTTTATACGTTTTTGGGTATACAGGGTGTTTCAGAACTCGGGTCCCAAGGAACAGCAAAATATGTTTAAAAAATTTTTTGTCAAAAAATTTTAAGATTTATTTTTGACATTTGACATTTTTTTATGTCTATTTAATGATACTGAAGATCTTGTATATATATGATTATTTAGTAAAGGTAAGTACAAACATTTTTCCAACAAAAGCCACAAATAATATTAAACAGAGTTACAGTTTAGGATACCGTTTCCTCTTCTAATAGCCTGTAGCAAAAACATAGAAAATTATTTTTCCAACATAAATAAATAGTCAAAATGAAAAATCTTAACTCTCATAACTTCGAAATTTTTATAGATAGAATTTTTTTAACTTTTTTTCCATGTGCCAAGTATCGTACCTTACATGATATTATTCACGGGCGCACCCTATATGTATTTAACAAATATGTACTTTCATAAAAACTTTCAAATAAATATTTGCCAGATTTAAAAAATAAATTACTAATATCATATTGTTTACTTTAATATCTACTTGTTTTGAGACTAATTTTTTTTTAATATTTAGTTATTTTGCGTGGGCGAGGATCTAATCAATTTTCGTCCACTCCCCAAACTTGTGGACAATTCGTTATAATTACAGGTAACTCCAATAAATAACTTTATAAATAATTTATGAATGAATTGTATTCGTGTTAGTCATGTTTTTTTGCTTCTCCATTGTTGTTAACATTTAATTTCGGTCGGATCGATTTTATTCGCTCTTTGACGAAAGGTGAACGAAATGTTTATAGGGCAATTTTTACAAAAAGATGAGTCTGAATTAAATATTTTTGCACAAAATATGTTTTAATCTTTTCCTGATCAAGTAGAATAACTGATAAAATGGCTGAATTAAAATAAAGATACCCAATGAAGGTCACTGGGCATGGTTATAAATATTCAATTCTTGTTTTTCTCTTCAAGACAATTGCACTTTTCGAATCTCACTAAATTAACTTTAATTTAGCACAAAAAATCTGTAACACATTTAACCTTAATCTCCGCAAGACATTACAATTTATTTAAATACAATATAGTTGCCATTCACAGCTGTGTTTTCTTCTTAGTCATGCATTTTTTAGTGTTAATTAGGAAATAATTAAAGTAGCAATTATCAGCCATTCAGATTCTGTCTTTTATTTAACGAGGTGTCAGAATTTTAAAACCACTATTTATTTCATCGTTTATTTTAATTGTTATGATGAGTAAACATGTCATTAATTGCATTTCTAATACAATGCAATTTGAATTTGCAATAAAACTGGGGAAAGTCGAACATTTTTCCACGATTTAAAACGGAAATTTATTGCTGTTTGAATTTCCGTTTGGCAGTGGAATCGATACAATTTCATTAGAGCTTTTGCCATTTCATGCATCCCTTTGAGAAAAAGCGAATTGAATAGAAGTGGAAAAGGCACGACTGAAATAATGTCAAGTTGATTATAATTACAATAATGCAGTTATTGCATTGGCAATAAGGGGTTTTGTAACGTGGTATCCATGCCTACACATTGCAAGCGAATCTGTAAAGTTTTACATCAACTGCTATCTATACTACAATCAAGTGTTTCATCAGAGTAAAACATGGGTAAAATTTAATGATTCGGTTAGTTATTCTGCACAAGATTTGATCTTTTCAATTGTATGACAAGTTTTGAGATTACGATGATGACGTGTGTTCATTTCTGAGAATTTTCGTTTATCTATGTCTGTAATTTCATTCATTTTTTATCTTTTATTTGATATGGACTGATAGGAAATTCGAAAGGGTATGATTATGCAGTCAAGAATGACATAGGAAATTCAAGACTAAACTGCATACCACTGTATCGTATTTTTCAAAACAGTGAAATTTAAGTTATTACACGAGTTTGCACTTGAAGATGCCGACTAAATTTTTTTGTAAAATTCTACGTCAAAAATGGGTTTTTTACTAAATTTACGCAATATTTTCGTTTCATGACATAATCATTTCCTTGTAACATTTTATCAATTTACTTATAATTTTATTGCCACTACCTGCTTACTTTTTGGAGTAAATAGAAATGCGTAATTTAGGAGTCAATTGTGCAAACAATATTTGAAATTTCTCGTAAACGATACGATTTTTTAAATTTAATTTAATTTTAATCTTGTAATTTTTCTATTTTACTTAGCCAAAGTTTAAAAAACAAGTTTCTATTTCTACTAGACTTTAGAATCTTAGGTCACTTGTAACATAATTGAATTTTCAAGAAGAAAATTCTGCCAGATCTAGAAAAATTGGCTCATAAGTTTTAACATTTCTGACAAACAATACGATTTTTTAATTTTTGTCGTACAATTGCGGATACGGAATTTTTGACCCCAAATTTATGTCAATTCAAAAAATGTCTATGTAAGCCACGCTTTTTGTCATTATGATGACGTTTGAAACTCAAATTTGAAAGTTTTAGGTGAAATTTATTTTTGACGTCGATTTTCTATACAATAATGACTAAATATTAGTTTCTTCAGTTTTCATTAGTTTCGTTTTTTATACAGGGTGCGCTAGAACTCGCGCCCCAGAGAAAAATTTCAAGTAAGATAGAATACCAGGAACATGTAAAGAATGGTATTAAAAAAAAATTAATGTTATTTTTGCAAACAATTAAAGTAAATTTTTACATAATCAGTAATGAAAGATCGTTTATTTATATTTTTTACTTACTACCAAATCTCAACACTTTAGTAAAATTAAAAACAAAAATTCTCTGTCAAAAAAATTTGACATTTATTTTTTGACATTTGACATTATTTATGTCTATTTAATGATACTGTTGAACTTGTATATGTTTTTTAATAATTATTTAGTAAAGCTACAAAAATTTTGCCAATAAAAGCCACAAATAACATTAAGCAGAGTTTCAGGATAAAGCTTCCTCGTTTCCTCTTTTAATAGTCTGTAGCAAAAAAACTTGGAAAATTATTTTTCCAACAGAAATATACAGGCTGCGACAGAACTCGCGCCCCACAGAAAATTTTCAAGAAAGGTAAGATACCAGAAACGTGAAAAAAATGTTTAAAAAATTCTATCTGTCAAAAAAATTTGACATTTATTTTTTGACATTTGACATTTTTTTATATCTATTTAATGATACTGATGATCTTGTATATGTTTTTTTACAATTATTTAGTAAAGGGACAAAAAATTTGTCCAATAAAAGCCACAAATAACATTGAACAGAGTTACAATTTAGGATACAGCTTCTTTGTTTCCTGTTTTAATAGCCTATAGCAAAAAAACTTGGAAAATTATTTTTCCAACAGAAATAAATAGAGTCAAAGTGCAAACTTTAAACTTGGAAATTTTAATAGATAAAATTAATTTTTTAAACATTTTTTTCATGTTTTTGGTATCTTACCTTATACGGCATTTTTCTCTGGGGCGCGAGTTCTGGCGCAGCCTGTATAGAGTCAAAGTGCAAGTTAAACTTTCATAACTTCGTAATTTTTATAGATAGAATTTTTTACATGTTCCTGGAATCTTACCTTACATGGCATTTTCTCTGGGGCGCGAGTTCTGGCGCACCCTGTATACTTAGTTCATTTGTTTTCTAGCTATCAGGATAAAAAGTACAAAAATCAAAAGTGAGGTTGTTGCACATAGCCCAGTTTTTATGTGAATCGAATGACAAATCGACCAAAATTCGGTGTCCGGTGCAATTTTACCATTTTTATTTATACGAAGTTAAAAAATAAGATTCTACCTCAGAAACCTAGGAAGTCAATTGTTCACGATTCTTATCATAACTAAATTTTTAGTTTTTACAAGACATTTTGCCAACTCTTGAAAAACTAGATCATAATAATTGATATTTCTGATGACAAACAATAAGTACTATTTTTTAATTTTTTTGTCGTATCCACCGATTTGTGACCTTATTTATTTTATTTTTTAAATTATATTTTGTGTTATTTTATTTCATTATTTTATATTTACATATTTTATTATTTTATTTATCCAAAGTTTAAAAAACAAGATTTTACTAAACTCCCGAAACCGAAGAGTCAACTGTTGACGATTCTCAAGATAAATGAATTTTTACAAGAAAACTTTTCTTGAAAAACTAATATGTGACATTTCTGACAAACGATACGATTTTTTAATTTTTTTGTTAACCCACCGAATTTTAATCTTGCAATTTTATTATTTTATTTATCCAAAGTTTGAAAAGCAAGATTTTACTAAACCTCAGAAACCTAGGATGTAGACTGTTGATGATTCTCTTCATAATTAAAGTATTACAAGAAAATTTTGTCAAATTTAGGAAAACTGGGTCATAATGGTCTGCTGCCATAGATGGTTTATCTTCATTATTAAATTTGAACTTTCCTCGATTATGTTATTTATGTCATTGCCCAATAATTAATTACATAAAATACCACAGCAACTTCCCATATTCCAATTAATTCGCAATTTAAACAATTTGGTGTAGTTCTTTCAACAAACATTATTTCTTTTTAACTGTAATTGATTAACATTGGTCTCGTATCAAAAAATTTAAATACCACTTCAATTTAAATGCTTGACACAATCGAGAGCTTTTAAACAGTAGGGGATTTGTTTTTATTTACCCTCTCTATGAGACATCAAGCTTAATTGCCTTGACGTAGGCGCCAATTAAATTTTTTCCGACAAGAGACCAGACACTCGTTAAATGGAAAGAAAACAAATTAACAAAAAGTGACCCAAAAATAAGAATCGAATTTCTAATTCTTGTGGCCAATTTGGTGGTCCGTTATTTTCCCCACAAAGCCCTCAGCCTTTCAACCCTCTTTACCTGCCAATTTTGGTTTGAAGTCAATCCATTTACTGGCGTAGCTCTTTCGCACTTCGGAGATGACTCTCGGAGGGCCATCGAACTCCCTATAGGGTGTTGCAACTAACATTTTTTCTATTGTTTTTGCGAAATGTCACACGAACACGGCCTTCTTTTCCTCGCCATGGTCGGTGAAAATGAAATATAAAAGTGCAACTTTCACGATTCGTACGAGCGCGCGCGATCACGAGGACTAAACAGCTGCCTGTCGACGATGTCCCAAGGCACTCTGATTATTATGAGTGGGACCGTTGGGACCCCCTCTCTCCAAGAAAGACTTAGATAAGGGACGGCTTATTGTCTGAGTACGATTTATTGCGACGACACTGGACTACCTGTCATTTATCGTCGAATGTCTGAGATAAAGACGAATTTTTTACTGGTGATGTGGGGAACTGTTGTGTAATTGAATTGTCTTGGGAGAAAATTGGTTTATTGTGGATGTAAATGAACTCGGGATGAGTTGAATTTTGCAAGGAAATGGCGGTCTCAGGGGGCTTTGAACGGTAATTGCTGGGATATTACGATTTTAGAGATGTTCAAACAAAAAAATAGAGAAAGTTGATCATGTAAAAAAATACTTTCAAAATTTTAGTGAAAGCCCTATTTGAAATACACTTTTAGGAACATAACTAAAAATTTGTAGCTCTTTCTGCATTAAATAACTGACTAATTGTTTAATTTATTCTGTACTCAATGTTAAAGAGTGCTTTTATCAACTAATTTCAGTAGATAAAGTAGTCTTTTACTGTCTAGTGAAATAAAGTAATTTTTATCTACTGTTTATATTTTATCAATTAATTTCAGTAAATAAAGTAGTTTTTAATCGTCTAGTGAAATAACGTAATTTTTATCTACTGTTTATATTTAAGAAATTCTGGTAGGTGAGTACAAAATAAAACGATTTCGTCACTCGTTAACTTAACTTTTTCACTCGTGGATAAACAATTTCTTTATTGTCTTGTATGATAAATAACTATCATTTTTAATAATCTGAAAAATAAATAAAAACTAAGAAATTTTGCGTGGACGTTATATGCCAACAGTGTCTACAAACTAGGCAAGCTGCGGTGTCCGAGTGGTTAAGGAGATGGACTTGAAATCCATTGGGTTCTGCCCGCACAGGTTCGAATCCTGTCCGCAGCGCATCTACTTTTTTTGTTTTTTTTTGCCATTTAGTTAATTTGAATGAAAAAATCTACGTTAGATTATTTACTTCTTAAGCAACAACAAATTAATCAATAATAAATAAAGGTCAGTTTTATTCAAATTTACTTAATGCATAATTCATCTTGAACTTGGAATATATTACATATCTCCATGTTGCCTTTCAAGACTAAATTCTGTAACTAAATGTTACAAACAAGATATATAAGTAATGACGTATGAAGAAAAATAATACGCAAAAGGTGGTTAGTGTATTTATTGATATTTGCAGAAAGATTTTTCAGGTTTTTACGCTTTAAATAAATAACAACTGTTTTTTTTTACTAATTGAAGGTCGAATTTTGTAGAAAAGAAATTAGTAAAAAATATCTACAACTAAATCCTTACCCTTTAACAAAAATTATGTTAATTTATTGTATGTGCATACAAAAATTTGTATTAACATTACTGCAATTTTTGTTAAGTAAAAGATAAATACATAAACGTTTTATATTTAAGAAAAAAAATTTTTGTTTCAAATTTTTTAAGGATTTTAAGGAAAAAAAATCTTTTTTACGCTTCCGAAAACAGCTGTTTTAGAGACTCATTTGAGTCCCTAAAATGAGGCTTTTCCGGACTCATAGTACGTAAAATGGTTGTTTTAGGTACTCGGTTCCCAAAAACAGTTTTTCCGGACTAAAAAATAAAATTGTATACTAGGTGGCAAAATGTTTTTAATTAATAAGAGGTGTGAATTCGTGTCTTGGGAGCTTTAACAAAAAAATGTTGTACAACAACCTCACCTCGTCCGGAAACAGTAACGACTCGTCCGCAAAAACTGTGTTTTAGATACTTGTAACAAAAATAACTATTTTGATTAAAGTAAAAATAACAATAGGTTTCGAAAAAAATTTGAAAAATATTTTATTCTTGATAGAACATCACATTTTTATAGTACTTTAGCACTCATCAATTAGTTTTTTCAAAAAATAAATAGTTTAAGCAAAAAGCGTTTGGTTCCATACTTTTTATTCATCTGGTATACAGAGTGCGCCAGAACTCGCGCCCCAGAAAAAAATGTCATGTAAGGTAAGATACCAGGAACATGGAAAAAACGTTAAAAAAATTCTATCTATAAAAATTTCGAAGTTATGAGAGTTTAAATTTTGCACTTTGATGACTGTATTTATTTTTATTGGAAAAATATTTTTTCAAGTTGTTTTGCTACAGGCTATTAGAAGAAAAAACAAGGAAGCTGTATCCTAAATAAATTGTATGTAATTTGTAGCTTTTAAGGGCAAAATTTTTGTACCTTTACTAAATAAAAATAAAAAGACGTATACAAGATTACTGGTATCATTAAATAGCCAAAAAAATTTAAAATGTAAAAAAATAAATACCAAAATTTTTTGATAATTAGAATTTTTAAACATTTTTTCCATGTTCCTGGTATCTTATCTTACTTGAATTTTTTTTCTGTGGGGCGAGTTTTGACACACCGTGTATACAAACGAACAAATAACACTTTATAAACACTAACTAATCAAGAATATTATAATAAAGTCACTGGTGTGTAAATTGACTTGTTTTATTATAAGATACTTATTTGCGGTTTCACATGTTTTTATTAGTATTAGTATTATTTTCTGTGGTTTAGTACAAAGAAAATGGATTGTTTGTGATCTTTAGTTAAGCAAGAGAGCAAGAAATCAAAAGCTATTAAAGGTTACTATTAAATACATATTTTTTACAATAATTCAAATTAAACACAATTTATGTTGGGTTAACTGTTTTTTTTTATTTTTGCCTTTATCTTATTTATAACTTATCACTCTTATCAGCTTGTCACTTTGATTATTATTTTTACATACCTACTTTGAGCATTAATTTTTTGGAGTAATAATTATACCGGGTGTTTCGTCTTTATTGTTACAAATTGAAATAGGTCATAGAATATTCAGTTTTAACACAAAAGTTTCTTATAAACATATATTAATTGAAAAATACTGTATAAGGGAGCTAAATTCCCTGAAACGGATACGTTTTTTTCCAATATTTCAGAAACTATTTTAGATAAAATTTGGTACAGTTAACAACTTTTATACACCTAAACAAATTTATAGATTAAATATCAAGTATTTTAATGAGTAGGGCCCTAAACTGAGCTAGCTTAGGGTAAAAGTACCCTATACTTATTTTGGCTGAAGTTTCTTGCCACTTTCAGCAACAAAATCCTAAATTTCATAGTTTTTCACAAAAAACGTCTCCAGCGTTGTTTGCATACAACTTACCGTTTTTGAGTAAAATCAACTTAAAATGTTAAAATGTTACAGATTATACCTAAACACGATTAAAAAATTAAATTTTCTTTTACGTTATTCTCCTCTAGTTTTTGCCTTTGAAAAATTATCTATTATTAAATTATTCTGAAATAATGTCCATTAAAAAACTTACCTCTTTGAGAAGGTGTAGCTTCCTTACAAAGTACCTATTTTTCGTTACATGTTCATAGGAAACTTTTGTCTTAAAATTGAATATTCTATCTGTTTAAATTTGTAACAATATTTAAAAATACCCCGTATATATTCTAATTGTATTAGAAAAATAAGTACTTACTTCTTAGAATACTTCATCTTTTCTTATTAAGTTAAGATCGGCGCAGTGATATAATTCCATAAACAATATGTTTATTTATCGAAAATTTCCTCGTTCTAATTTTAAAATATAGTCCAGTTTAATTAATTCTCATCTATTGCTTTGAATTAATTAAAATATCGTTTATATTAACAATTAAAAAAAATCGTAAATTACTTGTACGTTGAAAACTTAATTGGCCTCGTCTGTCCATTGTCCATAAAACCGCTTTTAATGTTGTCATAAAAGTCTTAGAAAGTGGTTTGAAAGTTTTTAATGTCCATTTTGTACACTATTTAACCGCGACTGGGATATATTTATGTCAACATTAATCGTTATTATTATTACAGTTGTTCTCTAGAAAAAAATAAAAATTTTGGTTTTTCGTGGTGACACATTTTATGATAAATTATTTTCCTTTTCAGATTAAACACACCTACCTCTTAAAGACGTCACATCTCGCCTGTGACGTCACGATTGCAGGGGTTGAACGTCACGTGATCGCGCCACCCCCGCAAACCTGCCGGTATTGAATTTGTCCTGTGGGAATCTTTGACAATGTTGAATATATCCACCTTCTAGTAACTTTTGCGACTTATTTTTCGCAAGCTAAGGACTGAACATTGGATCTGTTTCACGTTCAATACCTTATTGAAGCGGATGATAATTCTTTAAAAAGAAAAAGCAATTTAATAAATAAACAAAAACCAAAATAATAATTCATGCAAATGAAAACTTAATGTTGATGGTTTATTATTTTTAAGAAGATTATTTTTGGGGTTGAATGTATTGCTATTGTCATTACTTTTTGTGTTAGATACTTACTGAAGTTGCAAAATGAGCATTTTAATGACATTGTTAAAATATTTGTCCATCTACTAAATGTTTTTATTATTGTCAAAATTATAGTGATTATTTTTATAATTCATGGGGAATAAATTTTTAATACATACTGTCTATATATAATGTGTAAATACCAATCAGATTTATGTTAAATAATAATTTTTGCATACTTCTTATATCTAAATATAACTCGTCATGAGTGTACAGTTTTAGTTCTGTGATGGCAATGATTCTAAACAGTTTTTAATTACAAGTTACGTACATAAAGCGATGTCATTGACCACTCTATACAACACTGAGATAATTTCTTTAATGTTATTTAGTTGTATCTTTAGTCATTTGTCAGTGGCAAATGATTAATTCGACTACAGTTAAAAATGTCAAAAAATGTAAGGAATGATTAAAGAAATGGATTTTGAACTAATGCATCTTTTGTGATTTATTTTGACTATTTTTCCTTGTAAAATTTCAACCGTTCTACTCGTGTGCTAAATTATCGCCAATTTGATTGAATGAATCTCAGAAATTTAGAAGATTTGACTGACATTTTTTTCTAATTCATCACAATAAAAATATTATTTTTGTAAATTTTGT